CACTCGCCGAGCAGGCGAAGATAGCGGTGACAGCTTTCAGCGCACTGAGAGGCGCACTGCCGAAGCTGGGGAGCGCCAATCGAGGGGCGTGAACCCATCGAAGTAGGCCGCGCACCCTCGCCCCTAGGTTCACTTCCAGGCGGCGCAGCCTGTACCGCGAGCCACGCGCTCTTCTGTTCGCATTTCATTTTTCCCCGATAGTACAGCACTTTTTATAATCTTCAACGGGTAACAAAGTCGCCCTACGAAACTCCTGCTCTCTAAAAAACTAACGGCTAATTCTGAATGCCCCGTTACATTGCGCTTTAATGTGTGTTCGCGTGTTCGCGTTCTTTTTTTTTTTTTTTTCTACATCTTTGATTATGCGGTTCTTACTTATGAAACAGACTATAGTTGTCGGGCTACCGGAAAATATTATATAACCAGGAAAATGGAAAGTGAACGCAAGAGACACAAAAAAAAAAAAGCAACGACAACAACAACAAAAACCTTAATAAAATAATTGAAATAATAGAATTGATTATAATTATCTTTTCAAAGGTTTGAGCGCACCAAAAAGGCTATAAAAGCAAGCTCGATGCATTGGATGGTGCGTTTGTTCACTGGAAGTGTAGTTCAGGGCAGTATGCTCGCACTTTTATGTTCCGCTTCGCTCACACGATAAAATCAAATACTCTACTGGTAATGTATTAAGTGAAACAAAGCTACCTTCTGAATATGTGCAAGGCCCTCAGTTTTCGCGTGATTACACGGACGCTTGTTTATCATTATTGTTCTCGTTTCCCACTGCGATTCATTCCGTGCTTTTTTGTGTGCTACATGCATTACATACTAAGGTAACCCAGGAGCATTCTATTTCGCGGATTGTAAAAAAAAAAAAAAAAAAATTATGCAACTGGACACGGGTGCCACAATCAATACAATATATTTTATAAGCTTCGCATGTGACCGCTGGCCTGAGTAAACATTGTTGTTTGTCAAAAACAATTGCGACTGTATAAAATCACGTGGAAAATGTCGTTCTAAGCACACGACCGTTAGCATGCAGTGAATACTCATAATCGGCGACGAGATGATTGGTAGCGGTCAGCGGGTGGAGTTTTTCTATTAACACAGAGTTAGAATGTTTCCTTCTTTCTGTTGTAAGCAAACAAGAGACAACTTACACCAAATCTTAGGGTAATAAAGTACTATGAACATTCAAACATTACTGCCTGAGCAGTATATGCGTGCAAACTTTAGCTTTTGATGCACGCTTAACTTTCGATACGCTCAACGCTAGCGTAAAGTGTAGCGCTGTTTCAGTCTTAATCAGGGTACGATGTGCGTGCTTACACTGCATTTTATGCAATGTCATACTCTACCCGTTTGCATCGTTTTTATTTATGCACACCACTACTTGCGCGCATAAATCACCAAATGAAGACTGGAACAGGATGTCACCAAAAAAATAGTTTTTTTTACCGCAAAAAATAGCTATGCATCGCCTAACGCTCATTCTCCGCCCAAAGGCAGCACTAGGTCACAACCAGATGCCAAAGTTTTATCCCGAACGGACACCTTATTCAAAAGTTATGTGATTTTCTGAAAATTTCAATGGCAAAATGGAGTCCGTTTTTGCCCGTTTTCGGTTTCTGGTGCCATAGAGCCCCATGCATTCGAAAACTACGTCGGCCGTTATTTTCCCATTGAACTTTTCAGAAAATCACTTATATAACTTTTGAGTAAGGTATCGGATCGGGCTAAAACTTCGACATCTGGTTTTGACCTCTAGCGCTACCTTTGGGCGGAGAATGAGCGTTTGGCAATGCCTAGTTTAGTCTTGCGGTAAAAAAAAAATCCTGTAATTTTTTTTTTTTTTTTGTGACAGACTGTACATTGCTTAAACTATGTGCAAAAGCTATCCACAGATCCAGAATCTTTGCCTGGCCAGTCATGCATTTATCACTGGATTCGTATTAAAATTAATTATTATAATTTATTAATGTGAGTGAATTATTAACCTCGGCATTTTTTTTATTATGACTCCCGCACCAGTCCTGCTTTGGGTTTTCCAAACTCAACATCTAAACCTGAGTGTCATTTTTTGTTTACCAGCCTCGTGGTTTTGGTCAAACTAAACACCCAGCTACCTAAATGAGACACCTGACCGCCCAAAAAATGGTTAATTTGTTTTGATATTTTAGGTAGTTAATTTCTCAAGCTAGAATTTTGGAAACCCATGTCTATCACGTCATCACGTTTTCCTGGAAATCCACGAAGAGCCAAACACATGCACGACAAAAGGGCCGGCCCGTCTCGTTGCCGCCCGCAGAGCCGAGAAAGCAACGCTCGGTCACGGACTCCTAGAAGATTAGCGAATTCATTCTTGCACCAGACTTAACTTTCGCCCTGATTTCTTGTTCTCGAAAGTACCAGTTCATCCTCGCCCCGAGCACGTGACGCTCGAACTTTCTTTGCCGAACTTTCGAGATAGTGACGCACTGTAGATAAGCAGCTGCCCGCGACATTGTCGAGTCAGTCTCGCTCTCGCTCTATGTTACGGTGCCGAATCGCCGCCATGTTTCTGCTGCCGGCCTCGACGCTTTTTCTTTACTTTTTTTTGTTTGTCACAAGTTCGCCGATAAAACCTTTATTTTTCAGTTCACTGCTCGTCCTCTCGTCACCTTCATTCGTGACCATATAAATCTGATCACATTGAAGTATGTGTAATGGGCCTCTGAAATATCCAATAGGGGCGCACAGGCAATTTTATATTTTTCAACGCTTCGGTGGTTTTGTTATGCATGTGTCTCGTCATTTGGCTCAGAATGATTTTCGCGTTTTTTTCTGCCCACATTTGCTGGAGACGTGAGCTCGGAGCGTAGGTAAGTGGCCCCCTTGCACGAGAACTGGCGCAGCCGTGCGCGCTCCAAAGAAAGCTCGTGCAGAGAAGAACAAGCCAGGGACCAGGGATGTCAAATTAAGGACATAGAAATATACCCCACTGTATCGAAGCGCCACCACGCACAATTTCTCGCATTGATGTACAGGCCTGGAAGGCGATCCAACCGCCATCTATTGGTTCAGAATCACACTAACCAAGGGTGGGTTTGCACCTTAAAAAAGAATGGCTACACGAGCAGCTCATTCATTGTGTTGCCTGCTGTGTAGGCCGAGACCAACGGCACGTGCAGCAACAGTCAAGTGCAAATTTCCGCCAAGCCTCGCGCACCAGTGTTCCCTACCACGGCCGGACTGGAAGCGCGCGCTCTTTTTTTCTTCTTACGGCCTTTGCAATCGCCCGAGAGTCAATGGCATTTTTTCTCCGTATGTAGTTCACTTGCTTGCCGCCGGGGGCGCAACCACCTCACCCCACTTCACCCCGCTCGGAGAATCCCTTCGAGCTGCTTTGCGCGGGTGTTCGAGCTTCGTAGGTTGTTGTTTTGGCATCGGTTCCTCAGAATACTTCTGATTAACCATGCAAAGGCGGTCACGGACAGAAACGAAAAATCAGCTGAATATGTGCACAAGCCCTCGAGGAAGCACTTTAGGCTGTAATATGCACTGTGCGAAAATTTTACAGACCACTACACCCTCGTCTAGAGCAGCTGACCGACTTCATGTGCGGCCTATGAAATGATGATGAAGACCACGGCAATAAATAGATTGGGCCTGCTTATATTTCACGAGAGTGTACGAATTAATTATCATTTAAAGTTCCTCCACGTAGAAGGGGTCCGTCTCCTCTGTTCTTGAGTTGCAACAGAAGTCCTGGAGGTAAAGACGAGTATAGTTTTTCCTCAATTTCATTCGCCGTCTTTACTTACTACTTTTTACACCCGAATCTCTCAGAGATGTGCGTCAAATATTAACCGTCTTGGGCTCATCAGAAGCGCATTAAAGAGGGACTGACGGTCTAAACGAAAAGATCAGGTGTCAAAGGCTATAAAATCTCGGCCGCAAGTTGCGACAGCGCTGAGATACACTGTCAGACGCGCTCTGTGCAAACGGCAAAGGGTAGTCCAGGGGGTGAGGTGACAGCGCCCCCCGCGAATTGCGGCGGGAGGTGGCGATTGCCCCAATTGCAAAGGCCGTAAGAAGAGAAGGAGAGCGCGCGCTTCCAGTCCGGCCGTGTCTCTACATGAACGGAACAAGCTAGGCACTGGCACGTGTCCTGGCTAAAGAGAGTATCCAAACGGCGCACAAACCTGTGCGCCGTTTGGACGACTCATGCCACGCCCAAAAGTTCGCCCTGCTGAAGACAGAGCCTAAGGCGTTATATGTAAGATTACTTGCGGGGTTTGCGCGTCCACATTCATCGGCGAAACAAAGATCTTTACAGAAAGAATCCGTCAGCACAAAAAAGTCGTACGCAAGTTTGATAGTAAGCGTGGTGCGGTCGCTGAGCACTGCGACGTCAAGGACCATCGCATTAACTTTAACAACACATGCATCATTGACGTTGAGACAAATCCCTGAGACTGTTTCTCGAATCCTGGCATATTCAAATAACGCCACAGAACATCAATCGGACTCTCGGAGCTTTACCATCCGCATATCTGAACGGGCCTCGTCTCTTTATTGACAAGGTACAGCCGTAGAAGAAGACCAGACACCCACCGTAGAAGAAAAAGAAAAGTGCACTGCTCCTCAACGGCAATAGCCGTATAGTCGCCCCAGAAGAAAAGGCCGACTTGGTTTCGAAACGTAGGGCCCCTATTGAAGGGCTTGGTTGGTGTTTGAGCTTTTTAATAATATTACATGAGCTTCTTAACAGGGAATCTAATGCCAATGATGTCGCACTTTTGAATTATGACGTTTGGCAGTTGCATGTGCCTTGTACAAATCACCAAAATGGCGGTGCCCACAAAAATATCACGGCACAGAGTGCCGAAACTCTAAGCGTAGCCCATTTAGTGGCTGTAGTAGGAAGCTTGCGCTGGAGCCGAAACAAGCAGAACTTCTCCCTGCCGTTCTTATCCCGTCGGTGACTAGAGCTGATCTCTGCATTCTTTCAGGCGATTGGGCCTACTACGATGCAGATGGCCGAGTTCACTTCGTGGAAAGAATCAAAGAAATGATCAAGTGCCTCGACCAGCAGGTAGTTCCGACAGAACTCGAAGAATTGCTGCTCGCCAAACACGACGGTATCGCCGAGGTGGCTGTGCTGGGTGTGCCCCACCCGGTCTACGGAGAAGCACCGGCCGCCATTGTCGTGCCCAAGAAGGATATCAAGAACGTTGCTGGAGCAATGGAAAGAGAAATCAAGGATATCATTGCGGGTATCTCAAATTCTTTATTCAGTCTAAAGATGTTCAACAATAAATTGCAGAGTATTTTCCAAATGAAAAATGTTCCCTGAATAGATATCATTGCGATTTTTCTCGTGATTTTAAGGACCCTCTCGCGAAATGGCTAGACCCTCTCGCGAAATGGCTAGTAAATACATAAGTATTCATCTCTCAGATGCGAGGGAGATCTATATTTTGACTAAATCCTTATGAAATAAATGAGAATTTGCGTATTTTCTAATTGGTTCAATTAAGACGTGTGCAACATATTCCCTTCATGAAATAAACCAAATGGATATCTCTGGGCTCTATGTTTTAATATCGCAAATTGATTCTCAAAGAACAATAAAAGTGTCCCCTTTTCTCTCTCACTGGTATAAGCTAGTATGCACCTAGCGCTTATTGAAGAGGTGGTGAGTTCTTTGACTTGCGGGTCTAAAAGCTTTGGTGGACGGGTCACATTCTGATCAAATCTTAAAATGACACGTATCCTACGTTTTCAGCTTTTTTATGTCTATCAGCAACCCTTTTTTGGCTTCTCATATTGAAGATCAGTAACTTCAAATATCGAACTGTCTATTGGAAAGAAAGAAAACTCCGAGCATGTGTGTGTATTACTAACGCTATGATTCTAATTTCATCTCTACCGAACATGAATTCGCAGTTTGTTTAATGTCGCATGACCCTTGTACAATGGTAAAACGCAAGCAAGTTGGTGGAAGTAGAACAAACAGATCTATCATAATACTCTCTGTAGAGGCAGTTGTCGAGAAAAAAAACTGTTGATGAGATTACATAGTTGCCAATGCCGTCACCTGGTCAAATAGGATATTGGGGGAAAAGGCGCATATTTCGGTGCGTTGACGAGGCGCTTCTGAAATCTAGAAAGAAGAGCGGACTAATGTCTTATGCAAGCTATGTATACAGATAAACATTTTCCGGGGGTGATTGAGAATCTAAAGCGCCATATAAGATTTTCGGTAAAAATTGCACTTCAGGGTTTTGCAATTAGGCGTGCTCGCCACTTACACTGGAAGACAGTTGACGACATCTTTTAAGAGTGTTTGTACCTTTTTCAGTTCGCAGCTTTTTTTCTAAAAAGCACTTTCTACTCCCTCCGAAGGAACCTGTGCTGAGTACAAGCATCTCTACGGAGGCGTCTTCTTCGTGGAAGCTCTTCCGAAAACGGAGAGTGGAAAGATACAGAGGAAAGCACTCTTCGATACTTGGGCCAAGTGTGCCCGGCTGCCTCTATAACGAACAAATGAACAACTCTTTGCAGCCAGTTTCCTTCAGCCAGCCTAATATGAAAGCTTTTGAACTCGTCGTTTCAGTATATCTTGACTTGGTGTTGTGGGATCAGTAGATGACTTTCGTCAATAAATATTAGACAGGTTTGGGCAAAATACTTACCGAAAATGTATTTAAATACAAATAAAAAACGCTTTGACAAAAATGTATCTGCTCATCTTTATATACTTTTTCACATACATTTTGTGCTGAGCAACTGCCATTTTAGAGTTAAATTTAACCCAGGAGCATTCCTCTTATCCTTCGCAAGGCTGATTAGAAGGTTAATTAGGGGCTTGGCTTCAGTGTTGTGGAATGGGTACGCTCCCCATTCCATTCCAGCTCCATTCCTTGGAATTAGAGTTTCTTACAATTTCATTCCTTTGAACTCCTACGAGTGGAGTCACTGGGTTCATTCCAAATCCTGTAAGGGCCGACCTCTATCATTCCATTCATCTAATTCCTAAACGTGAAAAAATGACTCTTAAGAGCTACATTGTGTTATTGGAAGAAGTTGCATCAAGCTGACATTCTCAAGCTACAGAGACAACTGCAAAACTATGCGAAATATTTCCCCAAAGCACTCATTCTACTAAGCCGAGAAGTGGCAGAGTGGTGGTCGTCCGAATGCGCTTCGTGGCCCTTGGTGTCAGTGCAGAGACCTCGATCGCGCAATCGCGCGAAAAAAAAAAGTTTGCAACAAACGTTAACAATTGAAACCAGCAATTTTCTCTGCAAATGGTCCGCATACGTGCCATCCACAGATACAAGTTCAGTGTGTTGTTTGTTTTATGAGGCCTTAAAATGTCTACATCGTGCGTGGCACAAGAACATTTTGCAGTCTGCTATAAATACCTGCACAACAGCACACGCTGGCAGAAGCGACGCCGCATCGTGCCCCATATCTCCATGCAGAGCTGCAAGCATACACAACCGCTGACTAAGTGCAATCTCTGTGGTGTCACCACGAAGGAATGTAGTGCTATATATTATAAAACGTGCCTCAAAACGTATACTTTCACGTTTGCTGCACGATTCTCGCGACTTTCGTTTTACCTTGTTTGATCCAATTTTTTTGATTGATTCTCTACGTAACACTAGAAGATCTACTTGGATAGAAGTTTACGTACTAATAGCCCTATTGCTAATAACACGAGCATCAAGGAGAATGCTGGGAGTGTAGGTCTATGCGCCGCACGTGGTCGCCTTCCACGTATGAGGGATTCGAAGTAAATAACAAAAATAAAGTGTTGACGAACGCCCGTGCAAAATGCCGTCTGTTTTATATTTTTGCTTTCGAACCGGTACTGGTGTAGACACCAGCACCTCCGGCGCGTAGTCCTATATTCGAATAATTCTTATTGATGCTTGGGTGATGTAGCAATCGGTCTTTGACGCATGGTTACAACAGCCGCTTTTCGCGTCTCGAGGCGCCAGGAACGACATCTTGTCCGTCTGCAACTTTTCAGTTTGGTGGCTTCACTAGGTGCGCACCACTCTCATCCTCATGGGAGCATTAGACGGTCAGTCAATCAAGCCGGCAGTCACCTAAAGTTCATTGATGGTGTTTCGAGAACCATTCTGTCCGTGCGCTAGCGTGTCGTCAGCAGGCTGTTGACTGAAGATCGACGTAGCTCGGATAAGGTTCCGCCGATCACTGACGTCGCGCACATCCGACCATGAAAAGCACCCATCGTATGAACTAAAGTCCGTTCCTACTTCTTTTTACAAGTAAAGACACACCAATATCAATGACGAAGCTCAATCTGCTGGAACAAAATGGCGTTCAGTTCTCTGCTGTGAGCTGCCATTTGCTTACTGAAACCTGCACTGCCACGCAGTTGGCGCATCAAAGAATGTCGCTACTTGTATGCAGCTCTTACCTACACTGTAAAAAATAACCGTCAAATTTACGGCGCTATACGCTAATAAAAACTGCAAATACGCCGTGAAGAGGAATTACCTGAAATGCACCGTAAACGAGCGAAAAAGAGCGAGAAGGAAACGCAATACTTCATGGAGCAAGAAAACAGAAAGAAAAGACGCGCATCGCTAATTGGTCACCAAGCTTGACCTTCGGAAGCTGCGGGAACCCAGAGAGCCTCCTCTCGCCCCTTCACCTCCTTTCTTTGTCCGCGCCAGCCGCGCCAATGCAGAACGTAACAGCCTTAAATAAAAAAAAAAAAAAAAAAGACTAAGAGCAAACAGTAGAGCAACAATGCGACGAGGTAGAAGGATAGACAAAAGAAAGCAACGTTGGTTGGGACAGCGCGGGAAGAAGCGGACGTTCGGTTCATTTTCCCGCCTTCCCACCCGTCTCCTCGTTCGTTCGTGGCATTCCCGGATTTTTGCGCACCTGAAAATTCGGAACAGAAAGCAACTGGATACTCTAGACAGGTATTTCATTATCAATCTCCTGTTTGCTTGGCAAGGATAGTGTAACGGTGGCATAAATACACACCCTAAAAGATGTTTACTTGCAGAATTTGTAGTTTCTGTTCAAGCACGCTTGCTGGTTGCGCAACTCGATGAGCACGTGTTCAGCTCTCGAATTCTTCCGTGTGTGGACGAAGGATGCTGTCTCTAGTTTGTTACGTATGATGCTCTATAAGGTTGCATATTTTGAGAAGACGTCGAACGTCTAAAGGTAAGTTCGGTTTGCTTCGAGGAGTTTGGAAAGCTTTCAGTGTGCCAGCATGCTTAGAGGAGTGCCACACAAGGGAGGCTTTGCTAAAACATCTAAAAGGCCACATCACCGACTGTATTTTGGTTTCGTATTCGTGCTCAAATTGTCAGAAGGTGTGAAATCATAGTTCACGGCACATTTGAACTGGGCGCATTTACGAGTGACAGGTTTCTTGGGCAACGGCGCATCACCTGCAGGCCCGCTTCAGGTTGAGGACTCTTCGACTCGGTCGACTAGTGCGGATTCTAATGAAGACAGTGCTGTTAACGTGATGCAATCCCCTGGTGATAACTACGACGTGTTAATGTCGTAAAAAAAATTCCGTAAAATACGACTTTTTTTTTACCTGAATTTTAACGGAAAGCTTCTTACGCCGGTATCAACAGTTCAAAAAACCATTTATGAATTTCAACGTCGGCATTTCTTGTACAAACAATACATGTTCGGCAACCTTGCTGAAAGCCTTCAAAACGTGCTCTGTTCAGTCGAGGTTCATAACATCATTGAGTTCATAAGATCATTATACAATGATGTTATGAACCTGAATGCTACCACTTTTCTTCCAGAACACATGAAATCTGCATATTTGAGAAAGCACTTTTCTTGTGTGGAAACGTTGAGTATATGTACATGGGACGTAGTTGTGGTCAAAATGACCGGTTTGCTCCGCATGTCCCCGTTAAAGAGGCACTAAAATGCCCCCAGAAAACAAATTTATGGGCCAGGTATTTACCGAGCCTCGCAGCGAGTCCCACTTACCCAGTGTTTTGGAGGAATTTTGTGATGGTGCCTGTCAGTAAGGCCAGTCTGTAACTGACATGTTTCAAGATGCACCACCCATCTCATCCATGCATTCTAGTTCATGGTGAGCATTCACTGATCGCTTTCCGAACCCCAAGTAATCAATATTGCCTATATTTTTATAATGAATTTGAACTACAATATAGTTCTGCAATTTACTACATTTTATATCTGCCTTCACGCCCTTTGTTTTATCCTTTCTTTTCTAGGGGAAAGCATCTACTCAGCCAGCATGTACTCGATCCCAATTGATGGAATTGAGGAGTTTCAGCGAATATAGGGGGCGCTCCGATCGATCCAACATGGCGGACGAAAGGGGGATAGATTTGCGACGCCCGTAGACCGGTAGCGTATAAATTAAGCAAAGCGTGTCGTTCTGCGTTTGTTGCCGCGTGCGAGATGATTATCACTTCAAGCCAGACCTACGGTGATGCTACAAAGGAAGTGTTCAAGCCAGTCGAAGCCAAGAAATCTTGCCATATTCAAGATATGTGTGCAAGTGTTCGACGTGGGCTTTCTCACGCTGGTGCAGCTGTCATCAAGTTGAACTGAAGGTACGCGGGTCCAAAGAAAGGTACATATGAACAATGTTGGCGCGTTGAAACTATGACGCGTACTTTATCTAGACCATAATTTATCGGTCTGCGGCTGCAAACGTTGTTGACATTGCTTAGATGATGTAGCCATTCAGGCGTCGCATTAAACGGTGTGGCGAACTCTTCGGTGTTGGTTCTGGTTTATCGGGTTCTGGGGATGGATAAAAAGCTGTTGGATGGAAAGTATGACAGCTACAGCATACAAGGGACGATCGAGGTCTTCATGCTGCGTTCTATGTGTCTAAACATCGGTATCGGTGTTATATTGCGATCAGCTAGTCCCCGACCGTCCTTTTTTTACGCATAATGTAAACAAGCCCCGGAAGCGCCAAATACATTTCAATGTTCTCGTGCACTTCTGCAAGCCTCCTTTTGGCTCTCGTGGGAAGCTTTATTGTAATAGCAATAGCCTCATCGGTTGTTCGAGTTGCATGTGCCGCGGTGATATCTGCTGTGTGTGATCTGCTGACAAACTAAAGTCTGTATTAAATGCCAGAAGAACAAAGGTAAAGGTTTTTTTCTCTCTTTTTATACTTTTTTTTTTTTACAAAACAGTGCAAAGTATTTTATACAGAGCAACTTAAGCTGATATTTGAGTGTGCTCAAGAATGAATGGCAAAAGGCGCTTATGCTAAATGGTAGGTGTGCACAGTTGATTTTATTTTTGCCTCTGCATTATAAATTGGAAGATATGTACCAGCAGAAGACACATGTCCTTTTGAAAATGTCTTTTATTAGGGCAAAAATAGGTTTTCACACACAAACACACACACTGAATATTAGAAACATGGCAGATATATATGTTCAAGGATTTTAGGTCTCTGTTACTCAAATGTATGCTTTTGTTTACAGAGTGGACACATATCTAATTATATGAAGGTTAAATATAACTTCTAGACAAGTTTGGCAGAGTTGCGCGGTCAGGGAACCCACCACAGCATTTTTACCGGGGTTATCCCTTTACTACCTGACCTTTTTATTTTGACAAGTTGCTTTGTATAGATTTTAGATTATAAACTTCCCCTAAACATTTTTTCAATGCTTCTTTTGAAATGGAGATTCTCTCAAGAGAGGGGGTTTGCCCTTTGTGTGGAACGAACATAACATGAGGTAAAACTTGGCAACAAAATTTATTGTGTTTGCAATAGCTTTTGACTAGAAAAACCCACATACACGGCAAACTCAAAACTAAAACCAAGCCGACATAATGGAGTGAATACCATTGCAAGCGAAGATGTCTCATACTTAGATCTACACGCAGCTTGAGTAAAAACCATTGCTGTCATGTACTACGGGAGGGTCATTTTGTAAATTGTGCGGTAAGGGGTTAAAGGGGTACTCCGGCGATATTTGCCTAACACTATTTTCAAAATCGCCATCTTTTGTTCTTTCCAGTATGCTATTTAGTTTCGCGAAATTCAAAATAGTTATTGTGAAATCGGCCAATGAAGATGACGCCAAAACCAAGATTCAGATATACCTGCGCCTTTCATTGCCGTGACGTCACGGGATGGCAGGCTTGCGGTTCCAGCGGGCTGTCTAAAAATGAACTATGCGAAGCATTTGTTTTGCGCTGCTGCGTGGAAGCTGGAGCGACCTTCCAAAGCATTCATTTGATACCATGAAACTGCCTGTAATCAGTTGGGAACAAAGTCTACAGCCCAAAGAGTGAACCCCTGCCTTCCCATGAAGCCACTTTTTCAATGTTGCCAGTAGAGTTTTTTTGCTTTGAAAAACACGATGAGGACCCAAAATTGTAAATTCTATAATTTGGAGAAAAAAAGTCATTTTGGCCAAATATTTGGGTTACTATTTCAGCGATGTTTGTTGGTGTGTTAAGCAAATTTTTAGCAAATAGGGGACTATGAAGAAAACGCCGGAGTACCCCTTTAAAAAAGCAGCAGAGCATTTTTAGAACTTGTCTTCAGCCAGTATGGGGGAGGATAAGTTCACAATGCCTGCTGCGACTGTCATCACGTCATCCAAAACAGGCACCAGTGTCCATGGGACAGGCCCCTTAAGCAGGCGGTATATCTTTAAGCGAGCAATGACTCGTTCCACATGAACCCGTGCACGAGCGATGCTTGCCGTCCTTGTGGCATCTTCTGCAGAAAATTGACTTCTATTGCGCAAGTAAGGAGGCTGTATAATTTCTATCCCTAACTTGTTACATTCGTCCTCTATGTAAAACCCTTATCAACCATGACGTCATCACTGAACGCATCGAGCTTTTCTAAGATGGTCGACTTTTGCACTGTAGCCTTATCTGATGATCTCCCGCCGAACCCATCACTCAAGAATGTGATCAGCCCTGCGGGAGAAACGCCAACTAGAAATTTTGCTGTGTGCCTTCCCTTGTAGTGTGAGTATGTCCATATTCTACAGGCCAGGCATGCTGCTTTTCCGATTTCGATCTCCGTGCCATCAAGGACGACTCTTACATTTGCAAAATTTTGAAAACATCTGGGTAAGTTATTGACGACCTCATCTTTGCTTGGCCATGGCAAGGCTGCTTTCATTATTTGACTAAGAACTTGCAGTGTGCTGTGGAAGTATCGACTGGTGGATGCTTTGCTGATTTTGAAATTGATGGCTAAGCATGTGAAACTTAAATTTGTCTTAATTTTTGTAAGTACGAGGATCACCTTTTCTCTCATAGTGAGCTCAGACGTTTGTGAATGAATTTTTTCGGCACACCTTACAATGGCATTGAGTAACGCCATTGACTCTACGCCAGTGTACGCTCTGACAGATGCGTCGGTGGTGAGCAGGTCGGACAACCTCTGGTTTTGCACTGGGGCAGTAGTAGTGTCGACTTGCACTGCCTTGTCTTGGGCTACTTCTCCCTGAGCCAAGGGTTCTTGAACAGGTCTGGAAAGGTCAAGCAGCATTTCTGCTACTTGTAAGTCTTCAAGTGTAGCCCTTGCACTAGTCTCCACTTCTGGAGAATTGCAGTCGCTGGATGATGGTGGTGGTGGTGGTGAATTCGTAGCAAGTTCTACAAGTTAGAAATAGAATATCTTAACTAATGGCATGGAACTACATTGGTACTTCAGCGAAACCTGAAGGTGAACATGCTATATAATAGATAGTGATTGCAAAGACTCACGAGGTACATCCTGTCGTGTTGCAGCCCTCTTCGCTCTGGTTTCCTGTGCTCTTAGCTGAGCAGGGCCAGCTCTTCTCTCATGGGTTCGTACCGGCAAGCACGTTGAGGGGACAGCTCCCTTTTTGAGCCGTCTTTTCTGTGGCGACTGAATCGCTGAAAATAGTGAAATAACTGTTTGATAGTTCCTGAAGTTTGCACTAAATGAAATCACGAGTGTCATGATGTGTATCATAAGAGAGCCACCAACCATTGGATATAATATTGAACATTGATTAATGCTTACATATTTCCTGAGTGTAATTGGCTAACCAGGCGGTCTTAATCATTGGACAAACTAGCTCCTCACTGTCAACACTCCCTAGGCACATAGTGGCATGGATGTAGTTGAGCAAGCCTTCTTATTTATGAAAAGTGGTAGCTATAGCCTGCTGTTGTGACCTCATATTTGTTAGACTGACAAGTGTGTTGAACTGGCATTACTTACCGATAGTGGTCAAAAAAAAATCTGAGCGGGTGAAATGGCGGCTACGCACGCGCATGGACGGTGTGATTGGCTTGCCGATCCGCAACTTAGTCTGCCAAACCTTCTTCAAGCGGGCGTCCGAAGGGAAAGAGTGAAGGCTTGTACTTCCTTTCACAGCCCGGTTGTCACACTGTGGCACAGAGCACATCTTGTGGCTCCGAAACTTTACTTTCGCCATTCTTCACGCTTCTCCCGAGAAACCAGAACCTGCGGAAAGCGCGTAAATCGCTCTTTTCGCGCGCGGAGAACGTTACTGAAACCGACCGCTAGATGGCAGGGGCGTTGCGCAGGTTTTGAAACCTGTAAAAAGTGTATTAATTTTTTGTATCCGCTAAATATAAACCTCAATATAGATATTATCAAAAAGCTAGTGCTCGATTATACAAACTTCAGAATCTTAAAGTGATAGCTAGAAAGCTACTGACTTATATGCCGAGTTTCATGTCTCCGTCAGTAGATGGCAGTAAAAAACACGCGGCCATTTCGAAGTTTCGGTTTCGTTCTCCTGCAGTGTTGGTCAGCTTTTTATAAAGCATATTTGTGGAGATACATGTAATTAGTATATATTGATATAATGAAAATCGTTGGTATATTGATATATAATGCAAATCGTAAAACCTAAAGTGAAACTCATAAAAAAATTGCCAATTAAAAAAAAAAAAAGTGCCAAAATGCGTTAAATTTCCCGCTTTTTCCAAAAGACATGGCTCCGCCGTCTACTCTCGATTTGGTTGACATTTTAGCTTATATTGGAGAACACAATGATGAACGCGAGGCACCACATCGCCGACGCTGTCTTGTGGAAGGCGAGGCTGTGCTGAATGCTAAACATCTGATGTGTTGCGGTATTGTGTCCCGCGACGACGCTGGTGTTAAATTATTCGCACTAAGCGTGCAGACAAGCCAGGTCAAAGCGAAACCTCATACAATCGACGTCAACCTTTCGGAAAAAATAAATGTAAGTATTACTTCCACATTTCTAACATTTGCTGCATGTTCCTTCGAAAATAATTAGCTATATTTTGTAATGTACTAGGCTGACTGACATGTTGAGCAACTCTAACTACGCGAAGTAAAACAAAATAGATTATTGATTACGTATTCACACACCTTTATTTCAGGCAAAATGCTCTTGTAAGGCAGGCCTTTCAGGTACCTGCAAGCATGCTGTGGCTGCATTGCTGTTCATCAACAGGTATTTAACTTTTGTAGTTATGAAAGCCAGGCAACTTAATTAGTTTCACAATATTTTATTCACGAACTTGACTGATGTGGTGAGCATGGTGATCAATAATGCAATTTTGATCTTACTGTGCGTCATGTTAAACTAATGAAAGTGACTAATTTGATGTCTTCCTCTCTCTAGGACTGGTATCGATAACTTAGAGGAGCTGTCCTCGACAGATTTGACGCAGTGCTGGGGAAGGCATCACACTGCTAAGCTCTACGAGCCCAGGAAGCTTTCCGAACTCTGCCATGTGAAACATCAGAAGCAACCTTCCCTTCCCAATGATCTGCTAGAGGAAGTACGACTTGAACTAATCAATGCAGCACCCCAGTCGGCTTTAGCACTTCATATTAGGGGAAGAGCTACCGAAAATTGTCAAACTGCACCAGTCATCACTGACCAGAAAATGATTGATTTGTACGACCATATCACACCCTGCTCTGGAGTGGTAGACTACATGGAGATGAAATGTTTCTACAAAGTAACAGTGTCAGATTCAAAAATACGGTTAGTTGCATTCTCAATGGACTCTCTGACTCCTGAGCAAAGACTATTCTTTGATACTCATATTGCAGTCACGAAGCAAGCAGCTATACAGCTGTGTCAAGTCACGGTGCTCCAAAATAACACACGCTGGCTTGTCGAAAGAAGGTTTCGCATAACGGGGAGCATCTGCCGTGGGCTGTTCACATTCGAGCCGTTGGATGAGGCAGAGTGGGAATTTAAGATAGAAAATCTTTTATCAGGTCGTAAATTTAAAGGTAACAAGGCGACAGCCTATGGGAAGGCGTCGGAGCCTGCAGCACTCGAGATGTATGAAGCGAGGACAGGCAATGCACCAGAAAGGTTTGGCCTTGTTGTGAACCCTAGCATACCATGGCTCGGTTACAGCCCGGATGGAATTGTAATGAAGGATGGCACTCCTCTCATTTTAATCGAAATCAAGAGCCCTACTCGTGGTAAAACAGTATCCATCAGGAGGCTCGTCAAAAAGAAAAAGATCCCCTACCTCGTCATGAGGGGCAAGAAGCTTGCGCTGAAGGAGAATCATTCGTATTACTCGCAGTGCCAGCTGGGTCTCCTGCTATTGAACCTTGAGGTGTGTGACCTAATTGTCTTTTCAAAGGTGCGGTCAGCTGTAATTCGAATAGAACGAAATGAAAGCCACATTACAAATCTCGTGAGAAAGCTACATTACGTGTATTTCAAGCACATGCTGCCTAGACTGTGTGAGATGAATGACAGACACTAAGCAGTACATGTACAAGAGTACCGTAAATTCCGGCCTATACTCCGCATAAGGCGTATAGTCCACAGGAGCCAATTTGAGCCTGACATTCTTTTGTTTTGATAGTTTGCATTTGGTGCTTAATCTGCAGGGCCTGATTCCCGCACCCAGTGCATAGTCCGCCAAGCTGGTGAATTCTGTTTTCGTGCTTTTTTCCTGGGTGGCATTTTCTTCAAAAGTTCTTCGGCGAATACCCATATCCTTGCATTCTTCTCATCATCCGCTGCCCTATTCGACTTGACCTCTTGTGCAGACTCTATTACACACAGTTTAAAAGCTACGGTAAATGCTCTTCATTTTTTCGGCGGCATCGCTACCGTGGTTCCAGAATGACTGCAGAGCCGCTTATTTTAACAACTTTTTTACAATAAAAGCTATTGGCTGTTTGGGATTCCTTTTTTTCTCAATCACAAAGCTCCTGCACAAGGTCATGCCTGTCCCCTTGGGGGCAATGTGTATGTCACCGCGGTCACCCATGAGTGCAGAACGGTCAAGGGAAAGACAGTGCCTGCATGACCCTGTGTTACATTTGCAGGTCAAAACAGCGTGATTTCAGCAGTCCCACGTCTGGTGATATTCGTAAGGTATAAACGATTCTGAAAAAAAAAGTCCACCCCTGTGGATAGTCTGGACAGCATAAAACTGAACGACTTTTGAAAAACCATATGCATAGTTCACACCTGCAAGTCTGCAGAACCTACTTTTAAACATGTATTGTCCGTGGACTATAGTGCGGAAAACAAGGTAGTAGCATTGGACCAGAGTAAAGTAACTCAATTTCGTGAACAAAAAAGTTTTTGCGATCCAAAACTTTAATCTAATTAAGCATTGTATATCCACAGCTGTTTGTTGTGGCTTTAGACTGCCTTCCTGTAATGATGCAGAGGGGTCAACTAAACCTTGAAATAAACATATTTAAGCACATGTAGATGCAATGTCCCTTGAAGCCACATGGTCAGGGAAAAGAAGTGCCATTACCTAAATTGCCAACAGCACACGAATGAGCACGATCAAAACCCACCAAGTCAATGGTCAGTTTTCCACCACCATATTTATTGCCGTGTAATCACCAATTCGGCCCATTAAAAACCTTGAGGCTGAAGTTTATAGCACGCCCATTCTGGATCTGCATCATCAGATGAACATGTTTCTTACCGATCTTAAACGTAAAACGCTAGTTATGCAACGAATTTCCGATATCGGCTCATTTTCAGCAAACTGAATGGTCCCACCTGTTACACTTTTAGCTTTGGAAGCAAACCAATTCACAAAACCACCAGTTTAACTAGGGGAGCAAACCTAATCGATCCTATTGATTAAAGCACCTAGATACGGGGGAAATTATCAATAAAAAAAGAGGTCACTCGAAAGGGAAGTTTTCTTGCTGAACAAACATGACTTTTTATTGGACGTTACGCAATGTAAGGCCGATGACATTCACTCCGTGATCGGTACAGCAGCACTTGCTTAGTAGTCGGTCATGCGTGATAAAAACAAAGGTGGATTAAAAACGCGATAGATTCGCCTTTGCACGGAGTACTTACACTTCGAATCCGGTCAACCTAAAGCGACTAAGGCCCACCTTGCTAGCAGCAATCTTAAAATTTATCCGTGTAGTCGTCACACCCACCAACCGAGAGCGTTGCTGCAAGTCCCTCCGCCGTCAACCTTGAGTCGCTGTTGTGCCTGAAAAACTGCTCTATAAGGCCAATGTCCAGCCACTGAACACACACACAAGCACAGGAAATAACAGTCGGTGCCAAACACAACCGAAGAACCTGGGCGGAAGCCCTGAACACCAAACGCGCAGCGTCGGGGACGGCGACTGACTGCGTAGTACACAGGTTGCGCCAGCTTGCGCTCCTTCGACGCCTGCATCGCTGCGGAGGGTGGTCGTAGCAGATTGTGTCACCTCCGTTGCTCGTGAGTCGTACCAGAACACCAGAGCCGCGTAATATTCTTGCTGCGGAAGTTTATAAGCCTACGTTCGCGGCCAACACACATCACACAAAGCCCACGCTAAGCCAACGCCCAGCGAACCTATCCCCCTCGTTCTCTTTCGGCGACCGGCCGCCAGGGCGGTGACACCGTCGCTGAAACTCCTCAATAACTGTGATGCACGAAATTCACATGTTCGACCACGCACTGGCTATACTACTCAGCGCGAACTACGTTTTCAACATTGCGTACACAGAGGAGATTTGCATCACCTTGGAGTTCATTCAAAGGTATTGAGCTCATTTGTGCTTCTTGGCATCATTTGGTGTGTTTTTTTGTTCCTTTGTATACTCCATCTGATCTAACATATATTTCAGCAAGGGCTCCAGACTGAGCTCCTTGTTTTACAATGTCCATTGCTTGCGTGAAAACTTGTGCAGCGACAGTTCTGATCAATGCTAGAGGCTTGCTATGGTGAGATAGTGTAGAATAAAAAGCAAGTCTCATTATTTTATTTCGTGTTCCCTGTCCTTCGCTTACTCATATATTTTGTAGTGTGCGAATACACGCTACCAAACGATATATTAATGAGTGGTACTTTTCGTTTAAAAAATTCAAATATAATATTATCTTCACAGCATTGTCTCCGTTAAAACTTAGGATGAGTTATATACTTTAAGGAATGACTGTACCTGCCTCACGACGCCACTGGCGACTAGTCTTCATGCAAAAAGACTTAACATTTTTATTCAAAATAACAAGGCTTTTATTTCCACTTTTAATTTTTACAAAACAAAAATATCAATCAGTTCCAAGGGCTACTGTTGCAGCTTTGGATCCAGTAGATAATAGCAGTGTGTATATTCCAAGGTAGGCAAGTTGCTTAACATACAGACAACTAATTTGGGAGTAATAGCGCAGAACGAGGAAAAAAAACTGATCTATTTTACAGTTCTGAATGCGGTTCCCTATATAGCAACCTCGTTGCAATTGTAAAATGTTGTATAGTGTGTGGCTTTATAAACGACTATATTTGAGAACTGGCAGATATTCCCTTTTGTTCATTATTTGCATTTTACAAGTCATCAAATTATGTAATTCGGTGAATGGCTCTTCGGTCCTTAGCCTGGTATGAGTTTGGTAAAAAAGTGTCTATGTGAATTTAGAAGTTCATATGAGGGAGTTTTATTAACTTGCAAGATAAAGTGCCGGGCTACTTAGGCATATTCAAAAGATCAGTGTTTCTAAAGCTGTAGTCACTGGCCAATTTAGGTATTTATTGTCTAATTATTTTTAACGCGTATTATGAGCTGAGATTGTAAGAAAAAAAAATACTTTGTATATCTGTTCTTACAGATGTCGTTGGGATCAACCCTGATCGAGGAACCCGAATAAAAAACAAAAAAAAAACATACGTAAACAAAAAGTTTCTTCAGTTAATTGACACGTGGAAATATAAATGAAAATGCAAATAGATATAACATCTTTTTACTTTTCTTTGACAGCTCGGTCACGAATATTAATGCATGCGCTGCAAGAGCAGCCGACCTCGCCGCAGACAAAAATTTTCTGTGCATAACTGCTTATTCACTTTAGATATGCGCGATTGAAATCAGTTGAACAGTGCAACACAACAGCTTCAAAATACTCGGCCGACCTTTTTTTTTTTACGTTGTATGTTTTACTTTGTTCAAATTACTATAATGGTGGGGTCCAGTACCATAGTTTTCAAGGCTTTACGGTCGCATAAAAATGGACCGTAAAAATTTATGGTCAAATACCAGGCAGCTGATGCTGCCAAAATTGTGCAGTAAAAATAACGGTGCACTGTAAATCTGGTTTACGATAAATTTAAACGGTGACCGTAGAAATCTACGGTCGCCGTTTAAATCGCACCGTAAAAATAACGGCGCGCTGTGAATCTTCTTACCGTAAATTTGAAGGATTACCGTAGATTTCTACGGTCCCCGTTTAAATTTATCGTAAACTAGATTAACAGTGCACCGTTATTTTTACTGTACAAGTTTGGCAGCATCAGCTGCCTGGTATTTGACCGTAAATTTTACGGTCCATGTTTTACAGTGTAGGATTGCGAGTTTCGGTTCTGGCCCAGGACCGAAACGCCGCAAGCCTTTTTTCGTTGCGCTGAGTAGTTTTCGCAGGAGCGATTTGGCCCTACGTATGTGTATATATATATATATATATATATATATATATATATATATATATATATATATATATATATATATATATATATATATATATATATATATATATATATATACATACAGGGTGATTAAAAGAGACGCTCTTTAAATCGACCGCAAAATTCGGTTTCTTAACCTATCGCGCTACGACTTAGTGCAGCGTTGCCCCAGATGGTGCATTTTTTCTGTAAAATTTGCAAAGAGCGAACTTACCTGAGGACAAAGTGAAGAAAGAAAAAGGCTTAGCTCCCATGGAAACGCAGAGAAGCCACCGGTCTTCAAACAGCACGGCGCCGTTTGCCACGGGCCTTTTGCCACTTGTTACGCGCCTGCTACCTCGGGCGCGTAACAAGCATCGAGCAACCATGGACAAAAAAAAAAAAGAAAAAGGTACGAGCGCCGGGGCCGGCGGACTTTTGGTTTTGGTTTCGTGCGTCGTCTCGTGTTCGCTTTGCGAACTGGTGTCTCACCAATCATGCCCCGTTTATGTGCAGTAGTAGGTTGCGCGAAAGGTCGGCTAAAGACGTGCGGTCGATCGGGCGACGTTAGTTTGCATAAGGTCGCTGAACGGGAGCTCAAACTCGTTTGCGAGCGCGGCGTTGTCCATTTCTTCCAGGTTTTCTTCACATACCGCCGTGCACTAGAGCGAACCACGGGAACCACACTGAGTGTGCACTAAATCCTACCGGTGCCGACAGTGCTCCCTGACGTCACTTCTCTTTCCGGAGGCGAAAAAGGGAAGAAATCTTAATGTTTGTTTCGGTTTCGCAAATTTATTTGCAGGTACAGAAATAAGAGTCACAACGTTCTAGAAAAAAT